GTGCGGATTTGTGGACTAACGATTGCAGATGCAGCCTGGACCAACGGCTTAACGTGCCTTCCTTAGCACAGAGGAGCTCGATATAATAAATTTTTGGTCATCCATTCAATGACCGACCACTACGAAAGTAACTTAACTTCAACGATTGAAGCCGAATACGCTAACCACTTGCGCCATCAAGATCCTCGAGTAAAACAATAACTCGTCAAAATCACATTTCGTCCGAATTATAACATCTATCAATAACAGCTCAGGAGCCCGAGATGTTCTCTTCGCCTCTTCGCCTGTACCATCCATCCTGCGTTTGATGCTGACGAATGGAGTAGACACAGCAACATGAAGCCTGTTGAATTCTGCTATATGCCATGTCAATATTCCGTTTTATCTTTACCAATACATACTAACCCTTCCTATTTACCTTTAGTGGGAATGGTTCGTTTATTGTTATATATTACTAGAATTACACCAAGCGAGCCAAATCCAAGCCTAAGCATAAGAAAGGTAGGGAATAACCTCTACTTTAGAGAAAACCTCGTTAAAATTATACAACTTTTTGGTGTTATGTTTCTGAAGGCGAGTAAAGTTTCATAGCTTTACGGGGTACGGGATTAAGTTCAGTACCCCTAGCACGAACCAAAATCGAATTCGTAACGTTTGCGAGTCCGAAATGTCATTGTCAAATGTGTACTGATTTTTAGTTCCCGTTACGTCCATAGTGGCGCTGCTGTTCAAGTTTCCATACAAAATTTGACATTAACATTTCGGTTTGCTAACTATTCGAATTCGATATTGGTTCGTGCTAGGGGTAAATAAAAAAGGTGGCTGGAGGTACCTTTACCTTACCTTTTTATGTCACATATCAGCGCTTTTCATTACTTAATGCTACTTACACTTAACATCGTATGAGGTAAAGTGCTCCGTCTTCTATAAAACAATATTGATTGATAATTGATAAAAAAATTGGGCGTTCTCCTCTAATTAAAGTGTCCTTAATTCCTGTGAATGCAACACTTTAAATAGTGATAATTAACTGTAGTATTTTTCCTTATGAGTACTGTTATATTATTATTACTGACTAAAGAGATAGACAAGCTAATTAAATAAAACTAGTTTTTACGGGTTAATGCACGAAACTTTATTTATTTATTGACGTTTCGTAGCCTTTACAGGCTACGTCGTCAGAATCAAATTAAAGTTTGATTCTGACGACGAGTGATGTGCGTGAAAACCTAAGAAACAAATAGACAAGCTAATTGTCAGAAAGTAACAGATGCTTTAAATGTACTTCACTTATATATCCTAGCATCAGGTGGTAACAAGTAATTTGGTAGACCAACAATACAAAAATATAATGATTGTCTTAATCCTATTAAAAATCTGCATTTATGTTTAGATATTTGTATTTTTATTTAAAAAGTAAAAAGAATTTATATGTAAAAAATATAACAATGATGGTAAATGGACACTGTTCTAGAGTAGGTATCACACTCACTTTGTCTATCGATCCTATCCCTTACCCCGTGAGATTTTTATAACCTTCCTTGCCGGCAGAAATGTAACAGCAATAAAAACGTAAAAAGAATTTTTAGGTAAAAAAATATAGCAATGATGGTAAATAGACACTGTTCCAGAGTAGGTATCACATTGACTTTGTCTATCGATCCTATCCCTTACCCCGTGAGATCTTTGTGACAATAGGGTATTTGACAAGTTTTGGAAAACGATCTCACGTTACTTACTAATAAATATGAAGTCCATAAAAAGTAAGTCCAGAAAATATTCATCATCCTCTTGTGTATTTCAGTAAAAATAACTAAATCAAAAACTCAATTTTCAAGTTGCCGCGAAAACTTTTCTCTGGGCAATATAGCATTTCACTGGGGTGTGACGTCGCACGACTGTCATTAAATCGTCAAACGATACAATGTAATGTGATTTTGACCGGAAGTTTACTAGTGTGTGACGTCATTTTAGGCTCCGCCAATCCCAGGCGTTTTAAATCACGTTACAATAGATATGAAAACTATTACCTTTTTCGTGGATTTTTAGTAAAATTATGAATATTTTTTCTGCAATAATAGTAAAAACCCCTGCCAATATTCATTCTAAATACAGATGCTAACAATTAGCACTTTATTTTTAATGCTATCAAATACCCTATTAACTGTAATACATACTTTATAACGTGGAAATCTAATTTCTAGTCTAATTTTAACTTGAAACTTTTAACATTAGAGGTTATTTAATTGATTATTATTTTCAAAACAATCTTCAATTTGAGTGTAATATGTTCAAAAATAACCAATGTTTATTGTCTACAAGGGATGTAGCTTCATCCAGGCCAAGTTATGCTTTTCCAAGTTTAAAAAAAAATTGTCGAACAATAGAAATTACTGTAAAATCGCTACCGTATCTCAACAATAACATCCCTAGAGAAAAACTCCAATGTCTAGCGGCAGACTACTGAACCATAAATCCGTCAACGGACCCGGTAGCGAAATCCTGTTATTTGCATACAAACTACAACAAAGACGTTTTTGTTTAAATCTGCGAGAATCTTAACTCTTTGACGCACCGATACAAAATGAGTTATTGTTGACGGTTTTGGCAAAAATTTAAATGACTAATTTGTGAGACTTTTTTTCGCATCTTTTTGTTTGGTGTCGTTTTTGCAATCGTCTTTGCATCCTCTTAAACTTTCGATAAGACTGCCAGTCATGAGTCTGCACTTTGGAGATACTTGATTTGTAACTTTTGGAATTATGAAATACAATGCCTTTGCCTATTTGAAAAAGTTCTGACTGCTCATAATAATCAATATCTTCAACGCTTTCCATCTCTTACATTACGTGATATGTATTATCTGGCGTCAGGTCACATCACGAATATGGGTAGTCAATTGTTTAACTCTCTTTTGTTTCATCTGTAACGAATATCGAAGTACGTTTCGAAATAAGAAAAAAGTATTATTGCAACTCGAAACAAAACACAATCAGCATCCAAAGTCGATGATAAAACCGTGTTGTCCGGCGTCAGGCCCGTGTACGAAGATACGCGTTGCGTTGCGTGCGGCCACACAATGAGCCGCCGACATTGATTGATGGCCGCGCATTCAACGAATACATTACGATTTTTGCTTTCATTTCGTTCGATACGAGTGTCACAAGGTTATGATATCGAAGCGATGGTTACAGATGATCGGCTGTAGGCGTGCGCCGATGCGAACTCTGCAGAGATTGTGGGTGTAAAAGTCATTTCTTGTAGGGAAAGGAACTTGTTACACGGACGATGTATTTTTTATTCCTACGGTAGGTATATATTTGGTGAACAAAACATGCGTGTATAATATCTCAAAAATGGACTGAAGCTAAAGTGTGGAAGACAAGACAAACATGTCTACGAAACTCGGGGTGATTTCAAGTGCAATTAAAGTAAAAGTAATTTGGAATGTTTACTCTAATATTACTACTCTAATTTACACTTATTGGATTTATTACGTCAAAGTTATTTATATTTAACATGCTTTTAGGAATAGAACCTTTAATAATAATTATAATTCAAAAGGCTGAAGTGCATTTTTAAATTAATAAATATGCAAAGAAGAATATATTATATCAATGGATAAAACTAGTTTTTACGGGTTAATGCACGAAACTTTATTTATTTATTGACGTTTCGTAGCCTTTACAGGCTACGTCGTAAAGTTTCGTGCAGTAACCCGTAAAAACTAGTTTTATTTAATGAGTGATGTGCGTGAAAACATAAGAAACAAATATTATATCAATGGAGTTCAAAATTGGTTAGCGTTACCATCTCGGTCATTCTCAGCTGTCTTGATTTTTGAGCGCCTATGCAAATATCTTATAAGTGTATAATATTTTATTGCTGATATTTTTTTTGTTCTAGCAAATAATTGATAAGAAATGTATATATTCACTTTTACACACATTTAGTAAAAACATCATCATTTTTTTTTCTCCTAATTTCCTTTAACTGTCCTGTAACCAGAATCACACTTCCTACCTTTGATAATTCTAAAACAAACTATTGATTTTACATTACTATCTATGTATTTTGAAAGAAGATTAATCATTATATTTTCCGTTCGCTTGTTTAATTTTATTTGTTTTTCTGTTAAATGATTATTATGCACAAGTGAAACTTTGAATTCATCCTTAAATCATTATTCAATATGACACTCTCATTTCTTTATAATTAAAAATTAATCTCGTGTTCCTCATTTCCGTCACACAATCCGTTACGCTAAAACGTGAAGAAAAATATAAAATACCTAAAAACTACTGTGTTGAAACATAGTGAATGTATTGATTATTGCCAACTGCGCTGATTGTATAATCAAAGTACCGAGCATGATTTTTTGTTATTTCACACATCTGGTAAGTCTTTCTTGTGGCCATTCATATCTGGACAATGATTTTATAAAACGGTAATTAACATGTATGTCTTATTAAAACAGAAATTCATTATTTATTGAGCTATTCTTCCGTCATTCCGAATCTAATTTTCGTCACGCCCAAAAGTATATCACTTAATAAATCCAAAACCAAATATAAGTGCCAAATTCACAAATTTATAAAGATTAGCGTGTTTTTCAAGTTTTATTATCAGTGCAGGGAATTTAATGATAATTGAAAATAGAAGAACATATTGTTGTGAGACTGGCCGATCGAAGTTTAGTATATAGAACTACAGTTTCCAATTTTTCATAAAAGTTTTAAACTATACTTTTTTAAACATTGATTGATGGATTCTGAAAAACTAGCTATTACTTATAACATGAGAATAAAAAAATATCCTTGATAAACATAATTTTACAGAAAGGTAATAATAGGTTTAGAATGTATCTTTGTCATGCCTTCTTAGTGATGACGTCACTGCGTCAATAAAATGAATTTGGGCTAATTTTCTCTTTCATTTATTACCCATGTGAGTGTATGTGATTGTGATTAGGTACATGGTGTTAAATAAATACAAGGTTACAGTATTACTATATTTATTGGTTTCGTATTCACATTTTTCCTATTTTAGTTACAAAACAATATCTCCCAATTAAAATAATATACCACATTTTGTACCCTAATACTAAGTCATTGTCTAAATCACAAAGGTCTTAGTTATTTTTCACAAACTTAATGGTTGCTTCAAAATCTATTACATATTTATTGGTAAGTACATTTTTCTGATCAATCTGAAAAATGTTAACTATATAATATATTCTTTTTTCGTTACAATTTAGACAGTTTTTATTCATGGCTAAAAAGATAAACTGAATTCGCCATATTTATTAGATTTGTTAAATTCAATCATAATTATAATATTTATCCAGTATAAAATTGATCAAATATGTAGATGTTTAATTTGGAAAATTTTGTCAATTTACGAAAAGCAGTTACAATAAAAGAAACTAATGACAAATAATTTCTTAGATGTCATTATCTGTGTTTCTTTTATTCCAAAGTTAAAATAAAAGCTGTAAAAATACTTAAACTAAATATTTAAAATACAACATTCATTACACGTGTTTTTAATTAAAATTTTGGGAAGTTGCTAAATCATAAACACAATATTTATAAAATAGGTGATATTTTATTGTTTTCTAAATACATTTTCATACTCTTCGATAAAACTTTTAATTTCAATTTAAATAATATGATGCAAAGCTGGCTACTTGCAAAGTCACATAAATGTGGGCTTTTAATAATGGATTTGGTATGAACAGAATGACAAGGAATTATTTCCAAATAATTCCTTGATATGTCATTATTTCCGTTCATTAGTTACTTTTCATCAGATGAACAGTTGAATTGAATGTACTAACAAGCCTTAATAGCAACAGTACTGAGATTTATTCAAAATAAAATTCTAACAGTTGTTTAATAAATATTAATTACATAGCTCACGACAATGACTTAAATTAAAATGTACAAATCCAACACGCAGATGTTTACGTCTACCCTAAAATAATAATATTAATCACACTTTTTGACATTGTAAATGTTTCCACTTAACTATCCAAACATCGATATATGACTTGTTACCCTAGGAATACTTACACGAATTACAATAGGCTTACATTAAAATTTACTCATCACTTTATTACAACTTATCGACACAAAGGAATGGTTGTTACAGAAAGTCCGTTAGTGAAAATAACTCTTCTTTACACTTAGATTATAAGGCGGTGAGACCGTAGTCTGATTTTATGACTGGCTGGTTGGTGGGTAGTCCTGTACCACAACCAGCGTTGCCAACTGGGGAGCCATGTGCCGCGAGGTTGGCAACCATTGCTGGATCCATGCCCGCATGCATACTCATCATGTGAAGATGATGCGGCGTCATAGGGTGACCAGCGTTCATTTGATTCGCATGCGACATTGGACTAATTGCCGGATCGTGCGACAGATTCTGTTGACCGACACAATGCAAGTCATTCATTATATTGTCCGTAACGTTCTCTATACTGTCTGGCCTACCGTTGTTATTTGATTTCTTTTTGTCGTTATTATTCGTATTCTTATTTGATCTACTCTTTGGTGTGGCTTTAGCCGTGGTTGTGGTGACTCCAGCCGGATTTGTTTTTCTCCTTACATTTTTGGTGTTCGGCAATTTGTTATCCTTCTTCCACTTCATCCGTCTGTTTTGGAACCAAATTTTTATTTGACGCTCCGATAAGACTAGTGTGTGCGCTATCTCTATCCGTCTTCTTCTGGTTAAATACCGGTTATAGTGAAACTCTTTCTCAAGCTCCAGTATTTGGTGCCTTGTATACGCTGTGCGTTGACGTTTCGGCTCCATGCCTGGCTGGAAGGATCCATTAGCTGTAAAAGAAAGATCAATATCAGAATAAAAATCATAAAAAGTAACAGTGAGAACTTTTCTCATGAAATTAACGATTCATCGTCAACGCTAGCCATTGAGTAAGGAGAAACGACGATAGATGTGATTTTCACATCATTGTGAGAAAACGAGTACTAAAGCATATGATTTTGTATTACGAAAGTTGAAATTAAATAATATAGTTATTTCTTATAATTTTAATTCTATAGCGGTATAGTTAATGATTGTCATAAGCGATAATAATTTGAATTTATTAAATTTTTTTAAGCTGTATAAAAATCATGTTCCGTGACATTTTTACAAGTTATCCATTATCGCCTACAATGTTTTCTAACAAAGGGGCTATAATTCACAGTACATTTTGCCATTTCTATATTGTATGTGGTTTTATATAGGATGGCTTGCGTGAGAGAATACCCTCTGAATAATTTATGCGGCAACCTCGTGAGGCTTAATTAATGTGCATAATAATTACACATGCACGTCCATGAGCTTCCTTTTTGTTTTGATTAATTGAGTCTAGCAAATTAGATCGTTTTTCAAACAATATGGCAAAGATAGAAGAGCCATCGATGAATGAGCGATGGTTTAAGCCTTAAACCAGGTGCTTGGAAGCAAAGCTTAATTATAATAAAATTTATTGATGGCGTAATAATAATGTAACTTTTATTTATGTTATTGGTTTGTATTGTATATTGTTTAAATTTATTATTTTCTTGCCAAAAAAATACTATTTGGCTAGCTCTATAGCTACCTATAATTGCTAAAAAAATAAGTTAATGTGAAATAATTACCTAATCACAAAACAAGTTTTAGTCGTGGAAAAATTTGGCTATGGCATTAGAAAGAAGTAGATCAATTAAGCATTCATTGGGACCTATTATTATTATTACAACTTAATAGGAAGTCAGTATCTCTCACATCCATACTTATATTGTAATGAGAATATTACCGACAAAGTAACATTCCTTCCGATTTATTTTTCTAAAGCCAAACAGCCCATAGAAAAGATCTTAGAAAAAATAAGCTGCCGAATGTAAACTTGAATGGGGTAAAATAAGAAGATATGTTTTTTTACGGAAAATCAATAATACTATGCTGAAGAAGTCAGTGGTACCAGTTCTAAAATGTTCATCCAAAAATTTCATTATATAAATTGTTCTTTTAAAATTAAATTATTACCAGAAATCTGGAAATAAGAGGCACGTTGATGAATAGAACGATTGTATCATCCAAATAGAGTCGTGAAAGTACAATAGCTTCATTTCCAACTACGGAATAAAGTTACTTGTAACGAAAAGTTGAAAGTAATTTCCTTTTCTGCTTCCCAAGGAAATTGCTTTCATACCAAAGTAATTTTGAAGAAGAGACATTCAAAAGGCATTATTGTGTGTCATTCTTCAGTTAATATGTTATTGGTAACTAAGTCTATGCCACTTCCGTTGATTAAACTTTGGACTATTAATGTTGAAATAATCCAAACTTTATTGTTCAAATATATTTGATAAATTAACAAAAAACCCTGTCAACTAAACAAACAAATGAAGCTTAAAATGATACCAACAGGCCCTTATTAAGTACTAACAAAAGTAATAAAAATGAAAATGAAAAGAAACGGGATCAACGATTGTGGTACTTAAAGAAAATTTCCATTTTTTTTAGTTTTTACAGGTTATATACCTTATCTATTCATTACTTACCCATGTACTCTAATTTTAACACTATGATGGTTATATTCTATGATAAGTTGATTATTATCTGGACTGATCTAAATATTTTCCTTAGGTAAGAACTCTGAGATACCTACAAGAAACATCAATAGAACTAGAACAAAAAGGAAGTGAATACCTATACTGCTATCTACAGCAGACATGTAATCGAGTTCCGCCCACATTGAAGTAAGAGAGAGACAGGTATAGGGACGCCGTTGGGATTGTCTGGAATTTCTTTGAGAATCTCCGCGGCTGCGGCTGGTATGTGCGGTCGACGGAGATTTTCAGTGGTCACACTGACAAAACCGCATTGATCCGGGTCCACTGTTTCTATACTTATCCACCTGTATAAGCTGCTGGGGAGTTGGTTACCTAAACAGTCCTTATGTACCTACAATGGAAAAACGTTGAGTAACCAAGAAGAAATTTGTAATAAGGCCAGTATCTAATAAAATACCAGTAGATATAATATGTTACGGTTTTTTGACTTTCGTACATCAATATTTAATCAATAACAAAACACTCATCAGTAGCCAATAGAATAGATGATAATAATGAATCTTTATTTGCAGATCTGGCGATTCATCAAATATAATTTAAAACACTCATTCAATTCATATTTTTCAAAAAATTGCACTAGGTACTATGCCAGGATGGTATGACGGTTTAACAATATAGATCACTTTAATGACCCGCACTGTTCATTATGCCAATACCTATAGTTGTCAATGAAATATTAAAGAGCTGCCATTAGAGAGTTCGATTTATATTAAGATATTTCTAAAATAAGTTAATTTTTATTTTTAAATATTTATGATAAAAGATGGTTGTCTTGGATGAATGATATTTGTTAATCTTGCTATTTTTTTTATTTCTTCAAGCTTATCTTCCTAATACTCATTATTGGAAAATAACATCACAAAGACATCAAAATCTACAATGTGAAAATTAATATTGATAATGAATAGTAAAATGTTTAGTACGAGGTGTGTCAGGCTATAAATAATAGCAATGCGAGGGACTCATTATAATCATCGTCGACTGCAAAACGAGATAGCCACTGCTACCAGTCTATTCTACGCTCCGCTTCGTTAGCTATATCACGTCATTGTCCGACGACAATCTGATTGAATTACCGACTACCTGACCAATGTGTGGTCTCATAACCGATCTGTTAATCTCGAGCCGATCTTGCGACGCATGGTGTATCCGACCCGCCGGTGGTCCATTAAGTACTCTACACAGATTGGGAGTACTATTGTATATCAGTATAAAATGTTACTTCAATGACAGGTGTCGATAAGGAAACTCCTTTTTGAGACAAGCGCGAATATGATGCTAGCAATTTCTTTGGCGATCAATCAGAATAACCGGTTCATTAGCGCTCTTGACCCACAGAATGCGAATGATGTTGCATCACGAGGCTCTCAATCGAAATATATCGTCAGTACATACAACCTTCGCGACAACAGCGTGTTAATTTTGAATTTGTTGCGTACAATGGGCGCATCGTTTACGGTAATTTCAATTGTACGAGCTGTCAACATTACAAGAATTATTACTGTGACTAAAAGCTTCAGCAATAATGACTTTATTAACTTGGGGATTGTATGGTAAATTAAGTTCTTTCCAATGCTTAATGTTGATTTGTTTATAAAGAAAATACAATTATGAAGTCGTTAAATTTTATGTATAAAGGTAAAATATACTAATATCATCAAATATGATTCGAAGGAAGAAGTTTAACAAAAGATTTTTTCCCTAGTCAGGTATTCAAATTTGATTACTACAAATAGGTATCTTTATGATCACTCATTATTCTCACAAAATTAGAAAATATATTCCGTCTAATTCAACGGGCCTAATAATAATTCCGACTTAAGAATAAGGCTTCATGTAAGTAGGTAGATATTGGTGTTAATCATGGCATGATTCTCTTAGCCTAAAATTAACTTTTACAATAGTGTATCCTTATCATTCTCTAAACAAAATGAAAAGGAGGGACTGGTGTTTAATTTTGAGTTTAGAAAATCATGCCCAAAACGACTCCATTAACATAAATGTGTGGTCATAGTCAAATGATAACTATGAAATTATGATTTTTTTTCACCTGGTCGGAAAGAGCTTTAATCTTGTTTTAAAAAAATATTTATTTATTAAGGCATGCTAACAGTCACACATATTCATATATTAATGAATGGGTCGGATACTATACAGTTTTCTTATATGCAGACCAATTATAAGCATACACAACAATCGCAATAGTGTTAATAAACAACTTGATACAATTCAACTAATTGACATGATCACAAAGCTATGTATTTTAAACGACTATATTATGGATGGATTGATGAACTGCGTTAATTTATAAAGAAGAACAGATTATTTCGCTATTTATTTGTTGTACTAAAGTGTTTCAGCAACTATTCCCCTAAAGGATACAAGACCATCACCAAATATATTTATGCTTGGATCTTTGGCGCCAATCTCATTATATGTTGAGCAAATTCTAGCTAGAGGTTCATGCAAACCCAAATTTGTTCGATGGCGAGGGATACAGAATTTTTTTTGAATAGCGTGACGTGGGTAATTGTACGGAACATTTAGCTTGATGAAAGATAAAAATTTAGAGCAACTTGTTTTACCCCTTTATCTCTTATACCTATAATATATTTTTATTAAAGCAGCAATAGAAAAAAAATCTATGAAAATTTAAACTTAACGCAGACAGAAGAAGGGACTGCCGGACAGTGGATCCTTAGTAACACAAAAATATGTGCTTGAAAAATCATTCCTCAAGGCGTCGCAATAGGGACAGATTTTTTATTTTATGTTCTAACCTAAGTGAAGTTTTTTAATTGTGCTGTTTAATTGTAAATTTAAAAAGACATGTATTTAAATATCTTATCCAAATTATCCGTTTTATCCGGATTTATCTAGATAACGTTATCTTAATATCCGATATATCATGATATTAAATGAGCGCATAATTGCATGCCCTAGTCTCAGTATGACAATCATGAATCTTAAGCATTTTTTGAGCAGTTTCATTGATAAAAGGGTTTTCTATAAAAGTGAATAAAGTATTATACTTAAAAGTAAATTTGTTTATATACCGCCCACCCCATGGTGAATAAGGTGAATAAAGTTTTTTGAAAGTAATTTAATTGCACCCAAGTGTATAAAGATTACTTAAAGTGTATTTAGTTCACCGACTTGAATTAGCTCAGATGAATTAACTCGTTAAATTCCTTACTGTTGCATAAAGT